CCACCCCATAGACCAGCAAGTCATTTCAAACTTCAAAAAACTTACACAAAAGCAGTGTTTTCAAGTGACCTCAGACACTCAACTGACCCTAAGAGAGTTTTGGAAAAATCACTTCAATATCCTCAGTTGCATAAACCTTATAGGTAAGGCTTGGGAGGGAGTGACTACCAGGACTTTGAACTCTGCTTGGAGGAAACTGTGGCCACAATGTGTACAAGACAGGGATTTTGAAGGGTTTAGGGCTACCCTCAGGAGCCTATGCCAGTAGTGGAAGCTATTGTGTCATTGGGGAAGTCCTTGGGGTTGGAGGTTTGTGACGAGGATGTGCAAGAGTTGGTGTAGAAAGACGAGGAAGAACTAACCACTGCAGACCTGCAAGAGCTTCAGGTGCAACAGCAACAGATCACATCTCAGGAATGTTCTTCAGAGCAGGAGGAAGAGAGACAGAGGAAGATGACTTTATCAAGGATTAGGGAAATGTGTTCAGTGTTTACAAAGGTCCAAGCATTTATGGATGACTTTTATCCTGTCACCGAAGTTGCAAGCCATATTGGCAACATGTACAATGGCACTCTTGTGTCCCATTTTAGGGAAATCCTAAGGGCACGTGAAAAACAGAGCTCTCTAGACAGATTTTTGGTGCGACAGGGGTCCAGTGACACTCAAGCTGGTCCTAGTGGCATTAAAAAACCAAGAAGGGAAGTAACCCCACCAAAGGACTTAGTACCTCAAGTCTTTATGAAAGGGGGTTCCCCTTCCAAACAAAACACCTGCATCATCTGCCCTCCTACCGTCTCATCACTCATCAACAACTCCACAATAGAGGTAAGTGGCATTTAATTATTGTTTATTTTGCATGTCCCATTCATTTTTGTGTAGGGAAATGTATATTTCATGTAAAAAAAAATTATTTTGTTTAATATTTTTGGGTGTCTGAAACGGATTAATTGTATTTCCATTATTTCTTATGGGGAAAATTAATTCGACTAACAGCTAGCTCTCTGGAACGAATTAATGCTGTTGGTTGAAGGTCCACTGTATTAAGGTAAAGTAAGACATTTAATATGCCCCAGAGTGAGTCACGAATGTATGAGTGGTCCAGATGGACGCGTCCGGTACCATCGATTTCTGAGCTGATGTATGAAACCTGGGGGAAATTTCGCCGAAAAAAGTGCTCGAAATCCTAACTGTACGATTTCCGCACCGGCCAGAAACCAGGGGTCCACTGTATTGTCATTTGGGGTCTGGAACAGATTAATTCTTTTTACATTATTCTTTATGGGAAAAATTGCTTTGGTTGTCATCCATTTTGATTGTCAAATCGACATCTGGAACAAATTGAATTTGAGAATTGAGGTTCCACTGTTCTTTTTTTTTTTTTATGACTGTCAGCAATGAGTGACCTAAACAGAGTGCTTTGTAAATGCCACAACTACTGTTACTTATGATTACAGCACAACCCCCATGTCTGTGGATTCATTATCTGCAGTCTCAGTTATCCACTGTTTACTGTGGCCCAAAAATTAATTTTAATTTTGGGATGCTTAAATGTGCGTGGATGTAGTGCGGATGACAAGAAACAGATGATTGCTGATGTTATGAATGAAAAGAAGTTGGATGTCCTGGCCCTAAGCGAAACAAAGCTGAAGGGGGTAGGAGAGTTTCAGTGGGGGGAAATAAATGGGATTAAATCTGGAGTATCTGAGAGAGTTAGAGCAAAGGAAGGGGTAGCAGTAATGTTGAATGATCAGTTATGGAAGGAGAAAAGAGAATATGAATGTGTAAATTCAAGAATTATGTGGATTAAAGTAAAGGTTGGATGCGAGAAGTGGGTTATAATAAGCGTGTATGCACCTGGAGAAGAGAGGAATGCAGAGGAGAGAGAGAGATTTTGGGAGATGTTAAGTGAATGTACAGGAGCCTTTGAACCAAGTGAGAGAGTAATTGTGGTAGGGGACCTGAATGCTAAAGTAGGAGAAACTTTTAGAGAGGGTGTGGTAGTAAGTTTGGGGTGCCAGGTGTAAATGATAATGGGAGCCCTTTGATTGAACTTTGTATAGAAAGGGGTTTAGTTATAGGTAATACATATTTTAAGAAAAAGAGGATAAATAAGTATACAAGATATGATGTAGGCGAAATGACAGTAGTTTGTTGGATTATGTATGGTAGATAAAAGACTGTTGAGTAGACTTCAGGATGTACATGTTTATAGAGGGCCACAGATATATCAGATCACTTTTTAGTTGTAGCTACACTGAGAGTAAAAGGTAGATGGGATACAAGGAGAATAGAAGTATCAGGAAGAGAGAGGTGAAGTTTATAAACTAAAAGAGGAGGCAGTTAGGGTAAGATATAAACAGCTATTGGAGGATAGATGGGCTAATGAGAGCATAGGCAATGGGGTCGAAGAGGTATGGGGTAGGTTTAAAAATGTAGTGTTAGAGTGTTCAGCAGAAGTTTGTGGTTACAAGAAAGTGGGTGCGGGAGGGAAGAGGAGCGATTGGTGGAATGATGATGTAAAAGAGTAGTAAGGGAGAAAAAGTTAGCATATGAGAAGTTTTTTACAAAGTAGAAGTGATGCAAGAGAGGAAGAGTATATGGAGAAAAAGAGAGAGGTTAAGAGGGTGGTGAAGCAATGTAAAAAGAGAGCAAATGAGAGAGTGGGTGAGAATGTTATCAACAAATTTTGTTGAAAATAAGAAAAAGTTTTGGAGTTAGATTAACAAGTTAAGAAAGCATAGAGAACAAATGGATTTGCCAGTTAAAAATAGGAGAGGAGAGTTATTAAATGGAGAGTTAGAGGTATTGGGAAGATGGAGGGAATATTTTGAGGAATTGTTAAATGTTGATGAAGATAGGGAAGCTGTGATTTCGTGTATAGGGCAAGGAGGAATAACATCTTGTAGGAATGAGGAAGAGCCAGTTGTGAGTGTGGGGGAAGTTCGTGAGGCAGTAGGTAAAATGAAAGGGGGTAAGGCAGCCGGGATTGATGGGATAAAGATAGAAATGTTAAAAGCAGGTGGGGATATAGTTTTGGAGTGGTTGGTGCAATTATTTAATAAATGTATGGAAGAGGGTAAGGTACCTAGGGATTGGCAGAGAGCATGCATAGTTCCTTTGTATAAAGGCAAAGGGGATAAAAGAGTGTGCAAAAATTATAGGGGGATAAGTCTGCTGAGTATACCTGGTAAAGTGTATGGTAGAGTTATTATTGAAAGAATTAAGAGTAAGATGGAGAATAGGATAGCAGATGAACAAGGAGGCTTTAGGAAAGGTAGGGGGTGTGTGGACCAGGTGTTTACAGTGAAACATATAAGTGAACAGTATTTAGATAAGGCTAAAGAGGTCTTTGTGGCATTTATGGATTTGGAAAAGGCGTATGACAGGGTGGATAGGGGGGCAATGTGGCAGATGTTGCAAGTGTATGGTGTAGGAGGTAGGTTACTGAAAGCAGTGAAGAGTTTTTACGAGGATAGTGAGGCTCAAGTTAGAGTATGTAGGAAAGAGGGAAATTTTTTCCCAGTAAAAGTAGGCCTTAGACAAGGATGTGTGATGTCACCGTGGTTGTTTAATATATTTATAGATGGGGTTGTAAGAGAAGTAAATGCGAGGGTCTTGGCAAGAGGCGTGGAGTTAAAAGATAAAGAATCACACACAAAGTGGGAGTTGTCACAGCTGCTCTTTGCTGATGACACTGTGCTCTTGGGAGATTCTGAAGAGAAGTTGCAGAGATTGGTGGATGAATTTGGTAGGGTGTGCAAAAGAAGAAAATTAAAGGTGAATACAGGAAAGAGTAAGGTTATGAGGATAACAAAAAGATTAGGTGATGAAAGATTGAATATCAGATTGGAGGGAGAGAGTATGGAGGAGGTGAATGTATTCAGATATTTGGGAGTGGACGTGTCAGCGGGTGGGTCTATGAAAGATGAGGTGAATCATAGAATTGATGAGGGGAAAAGAGTGAGTGGTGCACTTAGGAGTCTGTGGAGACAAAGAACTTTGTCCTTGGAGGCAAAGAGGGGAATGTATGAGAGTATAGTTTTACCAACGCTCTTATATGGGTGTGAAGCATGGGTGATGAATGTTGCAGCGAGGAGAAGGCTGGAGGCAGTGGAGATGTCATGTCTGAGGGCAATGTGTGATGTGAATATAATGCAGAGAATTCGTAGTTTGGAAGTTAGGAGGAGGTGTGGGATTACCAAAACTGTTGTCCAGAGGGCTGAGGAAGGGTTGTTGAGGTGGTTCGGACATGTAGAGAGAATGGAGCGAAACAGAATGACTTCAAGAGTGTATCAGTCTGTAGTGGAAGGAAGGCGGGGTAGGGGTCGGCCTAGGAAAGGTTGGAGAGAGGGGGTAAAGGAGGTTTTGTGTGCGAGGGGCTTGGACTTCCAGCAGGCATGCGTGAGCGTGTTTGATAGGAGTGAATGGAGACAAATGGTTTTTAATACTTGACCTGCTGTTGGAGTGTGAGCAAAGTAACATTTATGAAGGGGTTCAGGGAAACCGGCAGGCCGGACTTGAGTCCTGGAGATGGGAAGTACAGTGCCTGCACTCTGAAGGAGGGGTGTTAATGTTGCAGTTTAAAAACTGTAGTGTAAAGCACCCTTCTGGCAAGACAGTGATGGAGTGAATGATGGTGAAAGTTTTTCTTTTTCGGGCCACCCTGCCTTGGTGGGAATCGGCCAGTGTGATAATAATAATAAATAATAATGCCAAAGCACAAAAGTAGCGATGCTGGCAGTTCTTCAAAGCTGTGACATGTTTCCCATCAGTGAAAAAGTACTAATTATGGACTTAATTTTGCATAATTTATCAATTAAACTTTATCAAAGGTATGAATGTAAACGAGAAAAGACTTGTACATACTGTTCGCTGCCATCCACGGTTTCAGGTATCCATGGCAGGTCTTGGAAAACATCCCCTGCAGATACGGGAGGTGGGGCGGAGGACTGCTGTATAATGCTTTGCTATCTTTTGGAGTAAGTAAAACCAATGTTTAACAAAAATCAAAAATTTATATAACCTGTACAACAAATACAGTCCTTTTTTTTTTCCTACAAACCACCTCTAAGTAGCAATCTTTGTTATGAATACTCTTTTAAAGACCACATCCAAGATTGAATAGCACACTACACTAATAAAGACCTCTCCATGTGCTATCCAATTTTGAATGTACTTTCTCAGTTGCATTTACAAAAGAAATTGCACTATGAAGGGGGTCAATGCCTCCCCACAGCCTGGTGGTTAATATTTGTTATTCTGAACCCCTATCCTTTCTCCTCTGCCTTTTTTTGGTCGTTCCGCAGTTGTTTAGTGAGGTCAGCTTGTTGCTGGAGGAGGTAAATGTTCTCGGTCTTGCGTCGTTGCTGACGCTCCACGTCTCTGATGACACCTTCGTGTAGTCTCTCTCTGTAGATAACAAGCAAACATTATTTCTATAAATTGGATTACAGATGCTTCAAGCTTTACAATGGTTTGACTTTATATATTTTGACTTTACAATGGTGCGACAGCAATATACATTGACAAGTACTACACGTATTGTACCCGTACATCCTTTGTAATCAAGTCAATGCATTGTAAAAGTGTTTTGTACTATACAATACATTTATTGATAGGATAAACTTGTATTCATTTATTTATTTTTCAATATGGTATTTAATTACAGTAATTATTTGTTAATTTACTTATTCAGTGACAGTTATTCATTTACTTATCAAAAAACCCCAATGGAAATAAGTCGCTCTGTCTGACTTTTTTGGGTTATCCCAGGTTCTCTACACATATGCTGCCATGTACGATAATCTATGTAACTGTATTTGTGTATACCTGAATAAACTTACTTAATCATGTACTCACAATCGGCTCATGATATTTTCGACTTACATCGGGTTCATTGGAATGTAAGTCAACGAGCAACTACAGTTTATTATAATTATTATAATTTATAGAAAGCCCCTTGATAGGCATAGCATTTTGGGCGGCCTTAATATTAAATCATTATTACAAATAGAATAATAATAATACACCTACCATCCGACTTACGACTTATGACTTACGACCTGCTCGACTTATGACCACTCGACTTATGACTGTGTTTTTTATGCCAAATTTCTGGGAAATAAACAAGTATTTGTGTTGTACACAGTGTTTATCCTAAACCTTACAGTATAAAATACAATACTAACAACATAAAAAGTAAAGTAAAACATGAAATACCAAAATAAAACAATAAAATAAAGTCATTACAAAAATGTTTTGTTGATATTCAGTAGTAAAGTTCGACTTACGACCGGTTTCTCGAAACTGAACTCGGTCGTAAGCCGGATGGTAGGTGTACCTAGTTTTTAAAATACTGGAGGTATTTAGTAATCCAATACAGAAGTGTAATAAGAGATGCGTATATTAAAGAAGAAGCTAGGTATGTGGTAGTAGGGGATGGTAACTGTCATACTCTTATCTACTGTGATAACACCGTTATGTAGCCTCACTGTAGATGATGGTAACTAACTCTCTTATCTACACCTGACACCACTAGTTCGCTATACCCTGCAGTTCTGTACATAGCAGACGATAAGGCGCAAGTACCCGCTCTCAGGGCATGCTTTCCAGTGATGTTTTGAGACCACTGGTGGTCCTTGTCGAAAGAGGTCTGCAAGTTTACCAGCATTTGCAAAGACTCGTGTGTGTCGCAGTGTCAATGTTGGTCATCCAAACTTTTCTGCAATGTTTATCTGGCAGTTCATCATCAATCGTCATCAGTCATCAAATATCAACAGCCATCAGTCATCAATTATCAGTCAAAAAATCATCATCAGTCAATCATCATCAACTAGTTTGCCCGAAATATATTGTATACTAGTGGCTTTCTTTTGTTCCTACAAGTATTATGTTAGATGTGAATTACATTATTTTGTACCAAATAAACAAATAATGTGTATTTGTATTGTCGCCGGACTCACTCACCACTGTAATTTATATCAGGCAGGTCAGCACTGCATATTCTAACCCAGGGTAGGGAGGGTTAGCCTTCCAGGATAACCCAGGGTAGGGAAGGTTAGCCACCCAGGATAACCCAGGGTAGGGAAGGTTAGCCTTCCAGGATAACCCAGGGTAGGGAAGGTTAGCCTTCCAGGATAACCCAGGGTAGGGAGGGTTAGCCTTCCAGGATAAAACCCAGGGTAGGGAAGGTTAGCCACCCAGGATAACCCAGGGTAGGGAAGGTTAGCCTTCCAGGATAACCCAGGGTAGGGAGGGTTAGCCTTCCAGGATAACCCAGGGTAGGGAAGGTTAGCCACCCAGGATAACCCAGGTAGGGAGGTTAGCCTTCCAGGATAACCCAGGGTAGGGAAGGTTAGCCTTCCAGGATAACCCAGGGTAGGGAGGGTTAGCCTTCCAGGATAACCCAGGGTAGGGAAGGTTAGCCACCCAGGATAACCCAGGGTAGGGAGGGTTAGCCTTCCAGGATAACCCAGGGTAGGGAGGGTTAGCCTTCCAGGATAACCCAGGGTAGGGAAGGTTAGCCTTCCAGGATAACCCAGGGTAGGGAGGGTTAGCCTTCCAGGATAACCCAGGGTAGGGAGGGTTAGCCTTCCAGGATAACCCAGGGTAGGGAGGGTTAGCCTTCCAGGATAACCCAGGGTAGGGAGGGTTAGCCTTCCAGGATAACCCAGGGTAGGGAAGGTTAGCCTTCCAGGATAACCCAGGGTAGGGAGGGTTAGCCTTCCAGGATAACCCAGGGTAGGGAAGGTTAACCACCCAGGATAACCCAGGGTAGGGAGGGTTAGCCTTCCAGGATAACCCAGGGTAGGGAGGGTTAGCCTTCCAGGATAACCCAGGGTAGGGAAGGTTAGCCACCCAGGATAACCCAGGGTAGGGAAGGTTAGCCTTCCAGGATAACCCAGGGTAGAGAGGGTTAGCCTTCCAGGATAACCTAGGGTAGGGAAGGTTAGCCTTCCAGGATAACCCAGGGTAGGGAAGGTTAGCCTTCCAGGATAACCCAGGGTAGGGAGGGTTAGCCACCCAGGATAACCCAGGGTAGAGAGGGTTAGCCTTCCAGGATAACCTAGGGTAGGGAAGGTTAGCCTTCCAGGATAACCCAGGGTAGGGAGGGTTAGCCTTCCAGGATAACCCAGGGTAGGGAAGGTTAGCCTTCCAGGATAACCCAGGGTAGGGAGGGTTAGCCACCCAGGATAACCCAGGGTAGAGAGGGTTAGCCTTCCAGGATAACCTAGGGTAGGGAAGGTTAGCCTTCCAGGATAACCCAGGGTAGGGAGGGTTAGCCTTCCAGGATAACCCAGGGTAGGGAAGGTTAGCCTTCCAGGATAACCCAGGGTAGGGAGGGTTAGCCTTCCAGGATAACCCAGGGTAGGGAGGGTTAGCCTTCCAGGATAACCCAGGGTAGGGAAGGTTAGCCTTCCAGGATAACCCAGGGTAGGGAGGGTTAGCCTTCCAGGATAACCCAGGGTAGGGAAGGTTAGCCTTCCAGGATAACCCAGGGTAGGGAGGGTTAGCCTTCCAGGATAACCCAGGGTAGGGAAGGTTAGCCTTCCAGGATAACCCAGGGTAGGGAGGGTTAGCCTTCCAGGATAACCCAGGGTAGGGAAGGTTAGCCACCCAGGATAACCCAGGGTAGGGAAGGTTAGCCTTCCAGGATAACCCAGGGTAGGGAGGGTTAGCCTTCCAGGATAACCCAGGGTAGAGAGGGTTAGCCTTCCAGGATAACCCAGGGTAGGGAAGGTTAGCCACCCAGGATAACCCAGGGTAGGGAAGGTTAGCCTTCCAGGATAACCCAGGGTAGGGAGGGTTAGCCTTCCAGGATAACCCAGGGTAGAGAGGGTTAGCCTTCCAGGATAACCCAGGGTAGGGAAGGTTAGCCACCCAGGATAACCCAGGGTAGGGAAGGTTAGCCACCCAGGATAACCCAGGGTAGGGAAGGTTAGCCTTCCAGGATAACCCAGGGTAGGGAAGGTTAGCCTTCCAGGATAACCCAGGGTAGGGAGGGTTAGCCTTCCAGGATAACCCAGGGTAGGGAAGGTTAGCCACCCAGGATAACCCAGGGTAGGGAAGGTTAGCCTTCCAGGATAACCCAGGGTAGAGAGGGTTAGCCTTCCAGGATAACCTAGGGTAGGGAAGGTTAGCCTTCCAGGATAACCCAGGGTAGGGAGGGTTAGCCTTCCAGGATAACCCAGGGTAGGGAAGGTTAGCCACCCAGGATAACCCAGGGTAGGGAAGGTTAGCCTTCCAGGATAACTCAGGGTAGGGAGTGTTAGCCACCCAGGATAACCCAGGGTAGGGAAGGTTAGCCTTCCAGGATAACCCAGGGTAGGGAGGGTTAGCCTTCCAGGATAACCCAGGGTAGGGAAGGTTAGCCACCCAGAATAACCCAGGGTAGGGAGTGTTAGCCACCCAGGATAACCCAGGGTAGGGAGTGTTAGCCACCCAGAATAACCCAGGGTAGGGAGTGTTAGCCACCCAGAATAACCCAGGGTAGGGAGGGTTAGCCACCCAGAATAACCCAGGGTAGGGAGGGTTAGCCACCCAGAATAACCCAGGGTAGGGAGGGTTAGCCACCCAGAATAACCCAGGGTAGGGAGTGTTAGCCACCCAGAATAACCCAGGGTAGGGAGGGTTAGCCACCCAGAATAACCCAGGGTAGGGAGGGTTAGCCACCCAGAATAACCCAGGGTAGGGAGGGTTAGCCACCCAGAATAACCCAGGGTAGGGAGGGTTAGCCACCCAGAATAACCCAGGGTAGGGAGTGTTAGCCACCCAGGGTAGGGAGGGTTAGCCACCCAGAATAACCCAGGGTAGGGAGTGTTAGCCACCCAGGGTAGGGAGTGTTAGCCACTACTACAATATTACAAATTTGGTAATGAAGCTTCTATGGGAAGGTAAATTAACAGGCGTATAGTATAATTAATAAAGTCTCCCATTACCAAACTTGCAACATAGTCCGTAGTACAAAAACACATACAATACTTTATAATCTTTACTATGGTAAAATTATTCTTTAACATAAAAGAGTATTTTTTGATTTACACAGAAACATAATAAAATGAGAGTATATTCTTTGGCATTAATATCACGTCACACTAACAATGTAGTCATGACCCTACCTAACCCGTGTCACAAGACACTACCTTTCCCTAAGTCTTATGACACTCCTACTACTCCGTGTCATAAGACACCCTTGTCTCTGTATCACTCAACACGCCTTCTCTCCGTGTCACATGACACCCTGTTCTCTGCGTCATAACACGCTTCCTCTTTGTCACTTGACACCCTGTTCTCTCTGTCATGATACTCCTTGTCTGTGTCACAAGACACTACCTTTTGTACAGGGTTACATGACACCTTGTTAATGACATATGATTTGTGTTACAACCTTCACCTGTGTTATTACTGACAAACTCACACACAACACCGTTAACACTACTTTGTGTCTTCACATGACACTACCTCGACTGTGTATTCACACAACACTACCTCAACTGTGTCTTCACATGACACTACCTCGACTGTGTATTCACACGACACCACCTCGACCGTGTCTTCACACGACACTAACTCGACTGTGTCTTCACACGACACTAACTCGACTGTGTCTTCACAACATTGTGGGATAATCAGCAGTAAACCAAGTAACGTTGGTGCGTGTCAAGCAGTGGTGACCAGCAGAAGTGAACACACTGGTAAATACACTCTCTCTGAGGCCGTCAGGCTCAGTGAGCGATGGCGAACGCACTGTGGAGAATACTCTCTTTCTGACACTGAGGCTAGCTAAGCAGCCCCCTACATTGGGTGTGCTGACGTCACACAGGGTACTGCCAGGTAACAACTATAGCAGCACCCAAGTGGTCAGTCAACCACCTCCCTTTATTTGTTTGTTTATGGGTTCGCAACAGCCACCAAGGATAACCCAGGGTAGGGAGGGTTAGCCACCCAGGATAACCCAGGGTAGGGAAGGTTAGCCACCCAGGATAACCCAGGGTAGGGAGGGTTAGCCACCCAGGATAACCCAGGGTAGGGAAGGTTAGCCACCCAGGATAACCCAGGGTAGGGAAGGTTAGCCACCCAGGATAACCCAGGGTAGGGAGGGTTAGCCACCCAGGATAACCCAGGGTAGGGAGGGTTAGCCATCCAGGATAACCCAGGGTAGGGAGGGTTAGCCATCCAGGATAACCCAGGGTAGGGAGGGTTAGCCACCCAGGATATCCCAGGGTAGGGAAGGTTAGCCACCCAGGATAACCCAGGGTATGGAGGGTTAGCCATCCAGGATAACCCAGGGTAGGGAGGGTTAACCACCCAGGATAACCCAGGGTAGGGAGTGTTAGCCACCCAGGATAACACAAGAAAGTCAGTGCGTCATCGAGGACTGTCAGGTTTATTTCCATTGTGGGCCTTCAATCTTGTCCCCCAGGATGCCACCCACACCAGTCACCTAGCACCCAGGTACCTACTTACTGCTAGGTGAATAGTGACAGCAAGTGTAAGGTAGCTAACACCCAGGTACCTACTTACTGCTAGGTGAATAGTGACAGCAAGTGTAAGGTAGCTAACACCCAGGTACCTACTTACTGCTAGGTGAACAGTGACAACAGGTGTAAGGAAACACGCCCTGTGTTTCCACCCACCCAGGGATCGAACCACGGACACTCAGTGTATGAAGCAAGTGCGTTGTCAACCAAGCCACGGGATACACACAACCGTGCACGCCTCCTTCCACTTCACACACTTGTTATATAGTAAAATAAGGCTTATTTTTTTTCCCCTGATAATAAGGCCATCAGGTGAATACCTTCCTTTTTTCAATTTACATATTTAGTAAACTTCAATTTAGCTGTTATGACCTGTTCTTCATTTTTTCTGTGTCGCACCGACGATTACTTATTGCAGAAACCGTTATCTTTGCCGTGTCTTTAACTGAACAACTTCTTGATTCTCTAACACCAGACACTTGTATCATCTCCATGACACATGGCTTGGTTGGTGATGCATTCGCCTCACACACTTGAGTGTCCATGGTTCAATTCCCGGCACAGGTGAAACCATTAGGCATGTTTCCTTACACCTGCTGTCCCAGTTCACCTAGCAATTAGTAGGTACCTGGGTGTTAGTTATCCTAAACCTGCTGCCCCTGTTCACCTAGCAGGAAGTAGGTATCTAGGTGTTAGTCACCTGGTGTAGACTGTCCTTGATGATGCACTAACTTTCCTGGGTGGCTAACCCTCCAGGTTTAAAATCCGACCAAATCTTCTCTCACCACCCTACAGCATCTCAAACACCTCCAGTGTTTTTAAGATGGAATTTCATGCTTAATTTTCTATCTTGCTTCACCAGACAAAGAAAAAAATTTATTTCCGCATGACACTATGTTTGTACAGTGTTGGTTGACATTTGGTTGTACATGCACAAAGCCTCTGGTTATGCAGAGCATTTCCAGCAAACTTAAAGCTACCTCAAGACTACAATGGCAACAGTACCTCGAGTTTCATACAGCTCCCAACTCGACCAATTATGTTAGTGTATTTTTGTGAGTGCTTTTGTAAGTGTATTTTTGGGGGTCTGAAACGGATTAATCTAATTTATATTATTCCTTATGGGAACAAATTCGTTCGGTAATGGCACTCGAACAGCCTTTTGGAACAAACTATGACCGAAATTCGAGGTACCACTGTATATACAGTGGACCCCTGGTTAATGATATTTTTTCACTTCAGAAGTATGTTCAGGTGCCAGTACTGACCGAATTTGTTCCCATAAGGAATATTGTGAATTAGATTAGTCCAATTCAGACCCCCAAACATACACATACAAACGCACTTACATAATTGGTCGCATTCGGAGGTGATCGTTATGCGGGGGTCCACTGTATATAAATACACAATTATTTTAACATACATTGTTTACAGTGTCACTGACAGTTTGTTTAGATTCCATGATAAATATCCAGAGATGAGATGGGATGATTAAGAGGGAATAGCTGAGTGATGTGCACTATGGGGAAAATCGTATGATACGTGTCCAGATACTGACCCATGTGGGCAGCTGTTTGTTTACATCCCCTCACCCTCCCCAGCAGTGCTAAGACAATGGGGTTGTCCAGTGTGTGGTGTGCGGGGTTTAATTCCTGCCTACCGCAACGTTAATGAAAATATGCACCGCCAATGGAAATGAATTCCACTCTGGCACGCCTTAATGGAAATGGCAATCTACTGGCAAAACTAAATTTAAATCGCAGAATACTCAATGGAAATAAGTGTAACTTTTTTGGGTTGTCTAAGGCTCTCTACACATATGCTGGTATGTATGATAATCTATGTAACTGTATTTGTGTATACCTGAGTAAACTTACTTACTGAATGACTTACGGGTGTCTACTGTTCATCAAAGGTAATTATATTTAACCGAAGATCATTAAATCAGTTTGAAGTATTAATGTATACTCTTAAGGTTGTACAATTGTACCATTGTTCATTTAGCTACGTCTCCTTTCGTACATTTAATAACTCTTAATTCTAGTTCTGCTGTAGTCTTTAACCCTTAAACTGTCCAAATGTAGATCTACGTTCACGTGCGTAGCGCTCCGAAAGTAGATCTACGTTTTTTCACATTTGAAAGCATGTAGAATAAAAGGTAGATCTACGTTTGGAGTGCTATGCGCATGAACGTAGATCTACGTTTGGACATTTTAAGAGTTAAGCAGTAGTACAGTGGACCCTCGACTAACGCTATTAATCCGTTCCTGAGAGCTCATCGTTAGTCAAAATTATCGTTAGTCAAGTTAATTTTCCCCATAAGAAATAATGGAAATCAAATTAATCCGTGTAGGATACCCCAAAGTATGAAAAAAAAATTGTTTTTACCACATGAAATATTAATTTTAATACACACAAACTGAAGAAGACATGCACAGTTACATGACACTTACCTTTATTGAAGATCTGGTGATGATTGATGGGATGGGAGGAGGGGAGAGTGTTGATGGTCTTAGTGTTTAGAAGGGGAATCCCCTTCCATTAGGACTTGAGGTGGCAAGTCCTTTTCTGGGGTTACTTCCCTTCCCTTTAAATCTCTCAAACCAACCTTTGCTGGCCTTAAATTCACTCACATCACCACTAGTTGCTGGCATTTTTTTAATTAAGTCGTCATGCAACTTCCTAGCCTTTTCACATATAATCGCTTGAGAGATGCTATCTCCTGCTATCTGTTTTTCGTTTATCCACACCAATAACAGTCTCTCAACATCTTCTATCACTTGCGATTTCAGTTTCGAAAACATAGTTGCACCTTTGGCAAGAACAGCTTCCTTGATTGCCGTTTTCTTGCCCACAATAGTAGCGATGGTTGATTGGGGTTTTGTGTACAACCTGGCCAGCTCGGAGACACGCACTCTACGTACTTTCATACTTAACAATGATCTCTTTCTTCATATCCATAGTAATTCTCACCCTTTTTGCTGTAGGGTTGGCACTAGAAGCTTTCTTGGGGCCCATGGTGACTTATTTTGCAGGTGCAATCACTAAAAAGGCTGTGATAATATGAAATGTTCCGATTGTATGTTTAGAAGCGACCGCGGTGGCTGGCTTGTAAACACTGGCCAGAAGTGGACGCGTCTCAGACGGAACGAATAGTGTTGGTCAAGTTTTTTAGTGCTAGTCGAGGCAAAATATTTGCATTAAAATGTATCGCTAGTCGGATTTATCGTTAATCGATGCCATTCTTGGTCGAGGGTCCACTGTATTAGTCTGCTAGAAATGTACCACATACTAGTGGCTTTATTTTTTGCCTAACAATATTCTGTGACATATAAACAACATTATCTGTGTACTGTATAAAAGAAATTAAGCATTTCTATTTGCATTATCTGTATGTGTGTTTATGGCCTGATTAAACTTAGTACAGATGCCAGGGATGTGAACCATTTCTTGATCATAGAATAAAATACAAAACATCTGTGAATATCAAAATGATACACAATACCTACAGGTTGGTAGGTGAGACACATAGGGAACAGTTAGGCAACTTTATTCCGAAACGTTTCGCTTACACAGTAGGCTTCTTCAGTCGAATACAGAAAATAGACTGAAGAAGCCTACTGTGTAGGTGAAACGTTTCGGAATAAAATTGCCCAACTGTTGCCTGTGTCTTACCTACCAACAAAACATCTGTAATGGGTATGATGGGGCACATGATGGGTATGATGGGGCATATGATGGGTATGATGGTGCACATGTGTATGATGGTTCACATGATGGGTATGATGGGGCATATGATGGGTATGATGGTGCACATGTGTATGATGGTTCACATGATGGGTATGATGGGGCATATGAACCTACCTGTCAATGTTCTGCTTTATGTGAACATAAACAATGATGCCCAGGGTGGTACAGCACGCTGCACCCAGTGTCACCTTAGACGCCAGCGACATGATACAGGAGACGGCACCTCACTGTGAATACAATATCAGTATTTTAATAACCATTGCAATATTACTTTGGGGAGATAAAAAGTCTCAATACCATGACTGGCACAATAAACAAATAACCAGCACATAGGAGAAAGAAACTTATGATGCCATTTTGGTCCGACCATTAACTAGTTAATGGTCCAAGTGAGAGTTTTGTGTATTAATTTTGGGAACTGATACTTAACTGGAGATCACCGAATCAGTTTTAGATATTGATGCGTACTTTTACTATTGTACTATTGTTCATTTAGTTTTTTTTTTTTTTGTACATCTAGGAACCGCCACTAAATAATCTGTCTAGTCTGTTAAGCATTAGTATTAGTCTGCCCAAAATGCATTGCATATTAGTGACTTCTTTCTGCCTTACAATGTTTTATTACATGTAAACTTTATCTTTGTACTGCATAATAGAATAAAAAAAAATTGAATGTGATGTGTCTACACTCTGAAGGAGGCGTGTTAATGTTGCAGTTTTATTTATTTATTTATTTATTTATTTATAATTTGAGCACACTTACAGAGGTACAAAAAAAATACAGATAAGAGCAGCATGCCAAAGCCACTTATACTATGCATAGCATTACGGGCTGGCTTAAAATTAACTTAAGATTAACTAAGCAATGATGAAATCAGTGAAAAACATTAATGTAAGAGCACCTCTGGCAAGACAGTGATGTAGTGAACGATGGTGAAAGTTTTTCTTTTGCGGGCCACCCTGCCTTGGTGGGAGACAGCCGATGTGTTAAAAAGAAAAAATGTACTGAGGGGCGTAAACAGGGAAAAGAGGCAGGGCTGTTGCTCTAAGATCTGTGTCTACAAGAGAGACCACATTAACCCTTAAATTGTCCAAAAATAGATGTACGTTTGCGTGCGTAGCGCTCCGACCTTGATTTTCTCCATAAGAAAGCATGTAAAAAAACGTATATTTACATTTGGAGCACTACGTGAGCGAACGTAGATCTATGTTTGGACAGTTTAAGGGTTAAACCCTTGTATATACAGCAAGTACTTGGCTTACCAACACGTTGAGAATCTTTTGTATTGTGTATAATATCATTACTGTGTAGAATATCATTATACACAATACAGGAGGTCCACAACATGTTTGTAAGTTGAAGACTTCCTGTATTATGAATGTTATACATAATTCAGGATGTTCCCAATGTGTTTGATTTGATGAGACTATGATTGTTTCAGGTCAGATACACATGCACTCCTCAAGACACTAAGGTAATATTTCTTCACCACTGGCTTCTTTAGTTCTTATTAAGATACTGAAGTAGTCACTTGTGATGAAGCATTTCCATAGCTTAGGTTAGGTAAGGTCTGTCAGGAAACAGGACAAGTGTTTCCTGATGCAAGTCTTAGTCAGATGATGACCCACAGCTGAAGCTTTAGGTCATCTGACCGAGACCTTCCACTGGCATACCCCTCCACCTCTTCAAACATTATGGTTACGATTATAACCATTGAGTTGTTATATTTCCACAATAATTATCTTGATGAGAGCATTCATGTCTTACCTACAGCCTCTCAACACTACCATACCACTTCCAATATACAGTGGACCCCCGGTTTACAATATTATTTCATTCCAGAAGTATGTTCAGGTGCCAGTACTGACTGAATTTGTTCCCATAAGGAATATTGTGAATTAGATTAGTCCATTTCAGACCCCCAAACATACACATAAAAACGCACTTACATAAATACACTTACATAATTGTTCGCATTGGGAGCTGATCGTAAACCGGGGGCCCACTGTATTAGGTTGCTTTGTATATAATAAATACTGTATATCTGGTACACATTGCTCAGCCAGGGTTAAGTGGGTTGCACTCCTGACTGCTCATCCTGGTGTGGGATTTTTATCTATACGAACTCCCTTAAATATGTTGGTATGGTTTCAGTTTAGCTGACAGTTCTAGCTGCTATTGACTATAGAAATAAGTCTTCAAGTCAGAAGTTCAGCGATAAACAAAGATTAAAAACGTAGAAAGGTTGATTCTACTAGAATGTAACCACAACTTTACCAAAATGTAAGCTTGTTGCTGATAAACTAAATAACAGCCGTAAAAAAAAAAACCTTTGAAGATAGTTCGTAGATGACACAAATAGCAAGAAATAAAAGTTCAGAAAATCATTTGAGGAATCTTTGCTTACTGGAAACAACACAGGTGATAAAAGGCAGTGCTAGAGGTGGAGACAAATTATTGAGTTCTATGGAAATATCCTGTAATGAAAAGAAGGGATTCAGGGAAAGCAGTTAGATGGACTTGAGTCCTGGAGGTGGGAAGTTCAGTGCCCTCACTCTGAAGGAGGGGTGAAGATGTAGTTCTGGTGGTGGGAAGAGCAATGATTGCACTCTGAAGGATGGATGGGGATATTGCAGTTCTGGAGATGGGAACAATAATCCTGCACTCTGAAGGATGGATGGGGATATTACAGTTCTGGAGATGGGAACTATAATCCTGCACTCTGAAGGATGGATGGGGATATTACAGTTCTGGAGATGGGAACTATAATCCTGCACTCTGAAGGATGGATGGGGATATTACAGTTCTGGAGATGGGAACTATAATCCTGCACTCTGAAGGATGGATGGGGATATTACAGTTCTGGAGATGGGAACTACAATCCTGCACTCTGAAGGAGGGATGGGGATATTACAGTTCTGGAGATGGGAACTACAATCCTGCACTCTGAAGGAGGGATGGGGATATTGCAGTTCTGGAGATGGGAACTATAATCCTGCACTCTGAAGGATGGATGGGGATATTACAGTTCTGGAGATGGGAACTATAATCCTGCACTCTGAAGGATGGATGGGGATATTACAGTTCTGGAGATGGGAACTACAATCCTGCACTCTGAAGGAGGGATGGGGATATTACAGTTCTGGAGATGGGAACTACAATCCTGCACTCTGAAGGAGGGATGGGGATATTGCAGTTCTGGAGATGGGAACTATAATCCTGCACTCTGAAGGATGGATGGGGATATTACAGTTCTGGAGATGGGAACTACAATCCTGCACTCTGAAGGATGGATGGGAATATTGCAGTTCTGGAGATGGGAACTACAATCCTGCACTCTGAAGGATGGATGGGGATATTACAGTTCTGGAGATGGGAACTACAATCCTGCACAAGGATGGGTGGGGATATTGCAGTTCTGGAGGTGGGAACTACAATCCTGCACTCTGAAGGGGAGATATTGCAGTTCTGGAGGTGGGAACTACAATCCTGCACTCTGAAGGATGGATGGGGATATTACAGTTCTGGAGATGGGAAGTACAATCCTGCACTCTGAAGGATGGATGGGGATATTGCAGTTCTGGAGATGGGAACTATAATCCTGCACTCTGAAGGATGGATGGGGATATTACAGTTCTGGAGATGGGAACTACAATCCTGCACTCTGAAGGAGGGATGGGGATATTACAGTTCTGGAGATGGGAACTACAATCCTGCACAAGGATGGGTGGGGATATTGCAGTTCTGGAGGTGGGAACTGCAATCCTGCACAAGGATGGGTGGGGATATTGCAGTTCTGGGGGTGGGAACTACAATCCTGCACAAGGATGGGTGGGGATATTGCAGTTCTGGAAGTGGGAACTACAATCCTGCAGTCTGAAGGGGAGATATTGCAGTTCTAGAGGCAAGAACTATAATCCTGCAACATGAAGGGCGGATATTGTAGTTCTGGAGGTGAGAACTATAATCCTGCAACATGAAGGGGGGATATTGCAGTTCTGGAGGTGGGAACTACAATCCTGCACTCTGAAGGGGAGATATTGCAGTTCTGGAGGTGGGAACCACAATCCTGCACTCTGAAGGGGAGATATTGCAGTTCTGGAGGTGGGAAACAGTTGCTACACTATACTTGCCAATTTTTTTTGTAATCTTCAGACTAATTTTCATGAGTTACTGCAAAAAATTTTTTTTTTTTAACACTTCACTAGTAAAACAAAAATTTTTTTAACCAACTTGCCAAAAATATAAAAGGTCTACCTAAAAAAAAAAAAAATATTGATCTCTTGTAATATTTTATTCCACTTCATTTGTCTCAAATATTGCTGTAAGTCAGTGTACTGTTTACCTGGAGAGAGTTCCGGGGGTCAACGCCCCCGCAGCCCGGTCTGTGACCAGGCCCAAGCTTTTTGTAATCTAGTCAAACTTGTGTGTGGATCAAGTATGTTGTGCCACCCCTTGCCTCACTCTGACACAGAAAGGAAATACAAGAGGGCCCCACTTGTACAGCAAGTTAGGTTCCGGGCTACTGTGGGGCCCCACTTGTACAGCAAGTTACGTTCTGGGCTACTGTGGGGCCCCACTTGTACAGCAAGTTACGTTCCGGGCTACTGTGGGGCCCCACTTGTACAGCAAGTTACGTTCCGGGCTACTGTGGGGCCCCACTTGTACAGCAGGTTACGTTCTGGGCTACTGTGGGGCCCCACTTGTACAGCAGGTTACGATCTGGGCTACTGTGGGGCCCCACTTGTACAGCAGGTTATGTTCTGGGCTACTGTGGGGCCCCACTTGTACAGCAGGTTACATTCTGGGCTACTGTGGGGCCCCACTTGTACAGCAGGTTAGGTTCCGTGCTACCATAGGGCCCCACTTATCCAGCAGGTTAGATTCTGGGCTGGAGTTTACCTGGAGAGAGTTCCGGGGCTCAACGCCCCTTGGCCCAGTCTGTGACCAGACCTCATGGTGGATCAGGGCCTGATCAACCAGGCTGTTACTGCTGGGTACATGCAATCCAACGTACGAACCACAGCCCGGCTGGTTAGGTACCAACTTTAGGTGCTTGTCCAGTGCCTGCTTGAAGACAGCCAGGGATCTACTGTGTGGCCCCGCTTATACAGCAAGTTAGGTTCCAGGCTAACCTAGGTTATTCTGGGTGGCTAACCCTCCGGGTTAAAAATCCAAATAAATCTTACTACAGTGGACCCCCGCATAACAATCAGCTCCCAACTC